ACATCAGTGAACTTTACTGTCCTTACTTCTGGAATTTAACAAACCTAACAATACTCGATCTGAGCCACAATCATATATCCTATGTCTCTGAGTGTGTTTTTGAAAATTTAAACAATTTGAAAATCCTAAATCTTGAAAACAACAAGATTTCATCATTCAATTATTCTTTTAAATTTAAATTACAGACACTGGACTTTTTGTATTTGAAAAACAATGAGCTGATAAATCTCTTTCAAGGAGTCTTCAGTAATCTGTCTTCCCTTCGTTATTTGAATTTAGATGTACGCATGTGTAACAATGTTGAGGAAGGAGGGTTAAAGGGACTCTATAACCTCCAGTTCCTTCTTATGCAAGGTGATATTTATTTTTATGAGCATTTCAGTGGGCTGCCAAACTTAAGCACTCTGATCTTAAATGTTGTCTCTAGCCTGCCACATAACAGCTCTGAACAAAGGGATAGGCCTTTCTCAGATTTACCCAAACTGAAGAAGCTTCATATCAAGGTTCATAGAGGATATTACGATATTTCAAAAGATGTTCTCAGTGGTCTGACTTCTTTAGAGTACTTAATAACAGAGGCATACTTCATGGGATCTTTGCATCCAGACACATTTAAACACACACCGCAACTGAAACATCTCACAATTACTTACAGCGAGCTTTCAGTTTTAACATCTGACATGTTCTTGCCAATTCCAAACCTGATGATACTTGACCTCTCCAACAATAAACTCAGGTCTTTGAATTTTCTAGCAGAGGCCAAACTGTCGGCACTCAGATGGCTAAACGTCAGTGACAATGAATTGTTTGTAATCAGTGAAACAGTTATCCAATCCCTTTTAACCATGAAATATCTGGATCTGTCTGCTAACCTTTTAACATGTGAATGTTCTAATTACGGTCTTATCCAGTGGATTCAAAGCAGCAAACAGACACAGGTTGTTAATGCACATCAGTACACTTGCGCATTTCCTGTCAGCCAAAGGGGAAACAAATTCCTGGACTTTGGTTTTGACTCCTGTTGGATAGATGCTGCCTTGCTCTGCTTCCTTTTTAGCTCTAGTCTAGTTATGCTTACTCTTCTCGCATCCTTCATCTACCACTTCCTGAGGTCACACCTCACCTATGCCTACTACCTCTTCCTGGCCTTTCTCTATGATAATAAGAGGAGGAAGAAAGGTATTCCTCACAGCTACGATGCCTTTGTCTCCTACAATGTTCATGATGAAGCTTGGGTCT